CCCGGGAGGAATAAAAAATTGTGACCGGGTCAGAACAGCCCAGCTAGAGTATGACGTCAGTGTGCTCGGTGTGATTACTGGCACAAATGCACACTGATTACTAAAAGTGAGACGCTGTGCGAGACGCTGTTTTAATTCCTTATACAGAGGAAACTGCATGGCTGTAATCCAAGCACTCGGGGAGGCTGAGAAAAGAGGATCACAAGTTTGAGCCCAGACTGGGCGACATATCGAGCCACTGCCTCAAAATAAAAATCTAAAAAGGACTGGGGATGTCGCTCAGAGCAAAGGCCCTGGATTCAATCCTCCGTACTGACAAAAGTTTTAATTTCCTCAAATTTTATCAAAAGACTTCAGGATAGGACAAAAGAGACCATAGCACAGCTTCTAAGAAGAGCAGTTCGGCAGCTTCTTCCAAAAAGTCAACATATGACCCAGCAATTCAGTTCCTAGGTGAGCACCCAGAGAAGTAAATCATATGTCACACAAATACTTGTACGTGAATGCTCATGACGGTGTTCCTGCTAGTCATGTGTCCGTGATGAATGGATGAATAGTATAAGGCAGCGATGGTGAACCTTTTAGAGCTTTTAAGGATAACAAACAGCTGAGTGTAGCATCTGTGCCATAAGTTCGCTGCCACTGGTATAGCTGTACGATGCAATATTATGCAGCCCTAAAAAGGAATAGCAGTCCAATATGTCCTGCAGCACAGATGAACCTCGAAAGCAATATTCTGGGTGAAAAAAAACAATCACAAAAGGCCAAATGCTAAATGATCAGTTTTATGAGAAATGACCAGAATAAGTGAATTTATAGAGACAAAAGAGCTTAAAGTATCACATTATAGTGATACATGCATACCAATGCTTATAGCAACACAATTTGTAATAGCTAAATCCTGGATACGGCCTATATACCCATCAACAGACAATTGAATAAAGAAAATATGGTATCTATATGTAATGGACTATCACTAGGCTATAAAGGACAAATTTGAGACATTCGTAGGAAAATGGATGCACCAGGAAATTACGCTGTTGAGTGAAATAAGTCAGACATAAACTTGAACACCATGTGGTATCTCTCATAGAATAAGCAAAGTATAAACTAAGAAAAAAATAAAGGAAGGATAGAACAAGACAAGGGATTGAATCTCTTGAAGATGGGAAAGGGCCCAGGGAACCAAGCTTAAGGGGTGAGGGTGAAGGGGATGGGAAAATATGTAGAGTGAAGATAGGCTGTGTGCAAGGCCCTAATAACCTCAGTGAGTATAAGCCTTATGTGCCATAAACATGAAGCAGAATAATGTCAAGAGGAATGAAAAAAGGAAAAGAGACATCACAGGAGGAGGGAGGGAGAGGGATGGAAGAGGATTTTTTTAAAAACCAGTTGTATTATGTATACATACCAGCTCGCAAGATGACTGTAAAATTTACCTCAAACATGTGCTAATAAAGTAAAATTAAATTAAAATTAAAGGTAAAGTAATGGTTGTCAAGGACTGGGAGAAGGGAAAAAGGGGGTGACTGATAATAGGTATAGGGTGTCTTTTGGATGCTATCTTGGTTACTTTTCTTTCCTTGCTGAGACAAAATACCTGACGCCAAAAATGAGGGAAGGAAAGGTTTGTTTAGCTTACAGTTTGTGCAGGTTTCAATCCATACTCAGCTGGCTCCAAAGCAGAGAGACACATGGCAGAGGGCAACAGTTCATGGCAGCAGAAGATAGCAAAGACAACAAGAGCAAAAAGGGAAGAGTGGAGGCAAGCAGCCTTTTCCTCTCCCTTACATATGCAAACTGTCTGCCCCAGGGCAGTATAGCACTCACAACCATG